AAAAATGACAGCATGAGGAATATCAGGGGCAGAATTGGAATTTTTTCATTTTAAAAGTTTAAGATACTTCAAAATGTTAGCATTAACATTAAACGTTTTGCCAAAACGAATCAATCTAGAGTAATAAAACCAGTGTGCCAAAAAATGAAAGAATATTTTTTATTTATATTTATTTTCGATAATTATTTTTGCATCTTTTTGCACTGTCTATATGCCTATCGATTTCTGAACAAGAAATTTATCATGGAACTTTCCTTGAGTACAAAAATAATACTATTTATGCTTAATTTTTTTCTAAAAGTAAATCGTCGATGTTTTTGCAAAACCGCCTAAATCGACATTGTGACAAAAATGAGATTTGGTAACCCTGAACTCCAGACATCTCTAATATACACTCAGTAAGCTTGCTCCGAGTGGAAGTATGATATTCATTCTTGGTTTCAAACATCCTCTTGGCTACCTTTTACAACCCTCTGTTCATTTTACATTTCCGCTTCGATTTAGAGCACTCAATAAAAGTGTAAATATATTTACAGTTGAGTACCTTCAACATACGCACATAGTATATAGTCATTTGATATTTACGACAAAAATAAGTACTCACCTGAATGTGAATGGTAGAAATGCGTACCGACTTCAGTGGCCCAAAAGTAATAACGGAACGTGTTGGCAAAATGTATGGGGCATTGAGTAACAAAAGGTACACCATCCGACCAAGGGGTTGCAACCATATGCTGGCCATGCCAATGGATGGCAGCAGCAGTACCAAGCGCTTGGTTGGCCACATCGACAACAATCAAATCGTCACGACATACCTGAATGGCGGGGCCAGGTAGCTGGCGGTTAATGCTCATAACACCCTTTTCATAGCCATCCGCCAAGATGCATTGCGGGTTGAAGCAGTCGGAGGCGATGCCAAGCGAACAGTGGCCACAAGCGCTGTGGGGAGAGAAGAGAAGTGAAAAGATAAAATCAGAAACGAAGTGAGGCAGGAAGGGAGTCAGATTGTTTTGTGGAGACCATAAATTGTGAATAATAAGTGTAGGGAGTAATGAAAGTCAGAGAAATAGATGAGAAAATGAGAAGGAGAAGAAGATGCAGTTGGTGTAAAAACAGTGATTCCAGATGAAAGCAGAAAATGTAGGGCGCGCAGCTGGTTAGGGAGAGATCCAGAAAGAAGTGAAGAAAATAAAACAACCAGTAGCAAGAGGCAGCTCGGAAGGTTAAGTGTGTAGTAAAAATGCCACTGGTTCAGAAGGTCTGAAGCGCGGTGCAGCACCAGGAATGCAACGGTGTGCGGCAGTGCGACAATTCGTCAGCGCGCGGTGCTACAAGCAATCCAGAGCTGTATTGTGTAAGCAAAGCATTCCGTAGTTGGCGGTCAGCTCGTAGCTTGGTGTGACGGAAGGCGGCGAATTAGAAACACCCGGTCGGTATGCATAGCGGTCGAACGGTGGGTTAGTCAACAGCAGTGGTCAATTCGTTGCGGCAGCAGCAGGAGGAAACGCTAGCGGAAGACCAATAAAATAGCATAACAGGAAAAATGTGAATGGTAGGAAAGTGAAAAACGGGAACATTTTAAAATGCGAGAAGAAAAACACGTTAATATGCTTATGCGGGAATGTCCAAAGTGCTTTGAAGGCTGACGGCTGGCCTGGCCACATTCGCGCGCACACAAAACAGGATACGAGGGACTCAGGAAGTTATTGGTTGTTGGTTGCCGGTTGCAATGTTGCTGTCAGCAAGCCAGCACAGAGGCTGTCAGGGTATTTTTGCGACAATCAATATTTTATTGCGCGCTCGCCGCGTGCTACACTGTTGGCTGCCTGACCGCCTGACCGCCTGGCTGGCTGGCTATTTGTGGCATTGCGAGAAAAAGGGATTTTTATGTTTTTAAGGACCTTTCTAAACGGAAATGTTTAACTGTGCGTATGTATGCGTGTACTATGTATATGTGCAATGGTTACTTTTTTCTACGCTAGGTATGAGTGTTTATTGCTTCATATGTACATCCTACGTACACTCCCATGACCTGGTAATGTTCGAGCGCAAATTTGAAATAGCAAATGCGACTGTCGCCAGCTACGCAGGGGCGATTGCACAGTTCGCCAGCGTGTTGACTAACATTTAACGGTGTGGTGAAGGGTACGCTATTTTTGTTATTGCTGCTGTAAGTGCTTTCCGTCCTGCTGCTGGTATTAGGATTACTGTCAAGCGTAGTAACAGCAACAGCTGCATTCACAGCTGCTGCCAGATGACGGCGACGGCGACGACGATGGCGATGTCGCATCCTGCGAACCGGATTAAATTTGCCAGCTAAAGTGAAGTAATTTGCAGCATTTGTGAAACTCAATGGCAGCGGCATGGATACTAGTAAGGCTGAAGCTTTAGCTGAAACTGAAGCAGTGCCTAAAGCTGCCACTGATTTTGTAGATGTGGACGCGGGCGCGGTAGTGGACAGAGTAGCGGTCGTGGGCACTGGCATTGCAACTGTTGCGCCTGCTACTGGCACTGGCGGTGTCGCTTTTAGCCATGGTAGGGTATTTGGATTTATTTTTCGATTTGCTGTATATGGGATTTGCGGATTTGATGCTGCTGCAACTTTTGTTGCTATTGTTATTGTTGTTTTGTTTGTTATTATTATTGCTTCTTCGTTGGTATTTGTCGTTGTTGCTGCTGCTGCTAGCGTCGCTAGTACGTTGAGTGCAGTTAGCCACAATAGAGCTATGGCAATGTTGCCCGCATCACCGCTACAGCTTCGGCCATTTCGATACATTGTTTCACTCAAACGGCACCGATTTATTTTTCTAAACGAAACGAACCGTTAAATCCGCGCACTTACTCATTCACTTTGCGCTGCACACAATGGAGAAATAGCACTAAAAGCTTAGGGTATGCAGGCGAGCACTCTAAACTGCAGCTGGCTTGTGGCATGCCACCACTAAGATATGTATACACCTACATATGTGAAATTATACACGTTACGGGCAATAAAATGGATACATATTGTTTTCAAAGCTTAAAGTGCTGACTACTTATAGTTCAAATGGGCAGAGGAAATGGAGAGAAAAAGGGAGTGAGGCTTGGATCCTCCACTCTCTGCTCAGCGGCTATATTAAACGAGAAATTTTGGTGCTGCGACTGATCGGCTTAAGTCCAGCAGAAACCGGTCCGCTAGTTGGACAAATTTTAATGAAAAATCGCAGATGTTTCTACGGAGGGGACCTTGCTATCTGCATCTGTTATAGTTGCCACGTACAGGAACGCAAATTCGGTGTTGGATTTGTGGTGGGAAAAAGACACCATCGCCGAGTACTGGCGTTCACCTGAATGGACGAGCGTCTAGCCACAACTCTCGCATCAAAGCTAGATTCTTCAACATCTCGCTCATCTGTGCCCATGCGCCGACGGAAGAAAAAGATGAGGCATCCAAGGATCTCTTCCATGAGCGCTTGGAGCGCACATACGAGCGTTGCCCCCGCCATGACATTAAAATCGTGCTTGGAGACTTTAGAATTAGAGAATTAGTCGAAGAACAACCATAGCGACCTAGTGGTCCTAGATGTCCAGAACGTACTTAAATTATGAAGGGAACACTTTCCCACCCTATTTATAGTGAGATTGCTAAAGGCCGTGGGGGCCCCTTTATGATTCTCCGGCCGCGATTGTTGGAGGATCTAAGAGTCTTGGGTTCGTGGGCGACTGCTGCCCTTTAGAGCCAAACCTCTCGCAGGTGCAGATTTTGGTTTTAGTAGGCGATGTTTTCTGATTTGCCTTCGCCAAATGCAGGTTTCGGATAGCATATAAGATGCCACTCGCTTTCACACAGAAGAACGGACTTTTTTGTTACTTTCAGAAGCGTCTGGGCGTACATCCAAATACTTGTTACGTTGAAGGATTGCTAGTTTGTTTTTGGTCGCGCCGAATAGAGTACTAGAGTACTCAAAGCCATCCACTTGAGTTTTGACAACCGTGTTGGAGTATCTCTCGGGTGAATGATTGGCTAATAAAGTTACATTTTTTGCTAGAACTACATATATTATTCTCCCATTGTTTCTATTTTATTGCCCACCACTTATATATGTACATACATAGACACACATCTGAACAAAAAAAATATTGTGCTGGTCATTGTATGCCCGCCGTCGCTATGATAGTTTCGCCGCATTGACGGGTTGATAAGAAGATGCTTGTGCTGCATTTAAAGGACATACAAGCATTCACACTATTTCAAGTATATGTATGTATGTACATTAGGGTTGCCCAAAAAGAGTAAAGTCGGAATTTTAATACCTGTAAATTATAATTACTATGAAAATATGGTTTAATAAGCAATTGGGTATTATTATTGGAATTCTCCTGCATAGCAGCACAGTTTTCCGATCGAAAAATATTGATTTTAAGAATTCTATACCATTTCTACGAATAGTTGTTTTATTCTCCATATAAAATACATGGAAAACTTTAAGCGCTTTGAATATCTTGTAATTCCAAATAAAAAAAATGTGGGCATACTTTTGTCGATATAAAACATTGCAAGGGGGTGAGAGTATTTAAATTCTGACTTTACTTTTTCACATGCATTTTCGGACCACTCTAATGTACATACATAAATATGTACACATTGTATGCAGAATGGCATTTATGTGGAGCCAATTTGATGGATCGTTCTTGCAAAAGTGAAAAGTGTGGCAAATTGATAAAGTCAGTATACAAAGTATAAATATTTACAGACAAGCTCTTTGATACAAATACTTTGTTGTATGTGGCGTTGCATTCAACACCATTTAAATAATAAAAATGTTTTAAGAGTTAATTATGCGCGGAAACAGCGAATTTTTCATTGAAGAAGAGAAAGTGGTATTCAAGGTATATACAAGGTCCACAAATATCTGCCGGCGAAAAAAAAAGCTACCCGCACAAATTCAAATTTCGCTCCTTATCATCAAATTAAAATTTTATTAGGGCTGCCAGATTTGTGTTACTCAAAACCGGGACAATGTTTTTTGAAAATGTCCTAAACACGCCAACTCCACCTCATATCGCAAAAATATGTACACTGGCGATATGATCCACAATTTTTCACATTTCGCCGTGACTCTTTGAAACATTACGTTCCACTTTTTGCCTTTTTTATTACTATATTTATTTGTGGAATGGAATTTGGACGTCCTCTCCTACAATAATAAAAACACTGTAAATACTAGGGTTCTGACTTTTTTGGCCCTTTTTTGATTCTTAGTAATTTTGTGAACACATAAAAAATTCACGTTGATAGGTACATGGAAAACAAGAACGGCATTAAACATGTTTTCCCAAAATATCGGACAATCCAATAACACACTTGGAGTCTTTTCAGCCCGCATATTTTGAATATCGTGGGTGATTACACGGTCAAAATTTTGGTTTTAATTTTTAAACCGAGCTGGGACTGATGCCTTTTTAATCTGTTATAGTCTACTTTTTAAACCAGTCAAAATAGTTTTGAGCAGTTTTCAATATATTCTGGTTTAAATTTTAGTTCAAGCTGCCGAGAAAATTATGTTTTCTATGAGTGGTTTAAAATTAAAACCAAAAAGTTCGTAGATTAAAGTATAAGTCCTATTTGTTAAAAAATCAAACTAAAATGTTTCAATTCTAGTATTTCTAGGTTTCAATATAGAAAATTTTCTTTAAAATCTAAACCGAAATAGAAAATTGTTGCATTTAAAATCTAAACCGAACTCTTAAAATTCTAAACCCAACATATGTGCTCTCTTTTTTTATATACTGGGAAGGTTTGTATTTGAAACTAAATTTAGTTTGGTCATATATGTAGTCCAAAAAGTTAAAAATTGAAACCGAAATAACAAAATGCGGAAATTTTTCCGGAATAATTCCTGTTTTTTATGGAAAATATATTTTGTTAAATTATGCGCGTATCAACATTTATTATTATTATTTTTTTTTTTGAATATGAAACCTTCCAAGGCATTTACCATCGTTTGCAGATACCTTTTCATACCGTGAAAAAATCCCAACCCAAAATATGCCAATTGCGAAATATTTTGTAAGCAGGAACACGGAATCGGCGAGCAAAAATTATTATTGAATAAACTACTGGCATATGTTTCTGCATATATTTCAGATAATTACAGGTGAAATATGAATGGTTTTAAAACGAGCAATGCTTTTTTTTAATATTGTGGTTGTTTACACTTGCCTGGTTATTAGGTCATTGCAGGCAATGGCAAACCTCCAAATGTGCTTCTGCCACGAAACAACTTCTAATTAGCCATTCGAAGGTGGCTTAAAGCTGCAGGTCCTTCTATTTCTGTAACAACGTCAAGACGCACATCAAAAATTTGAGGAGGAGCTCGGCCAAACACTTAGCGTGTAAATATTATAACTGTTATTCGAATATCCGGCGTATAACACTTTTGAAAAGATCAGTGAAATCACAAAATTTTTTCCAGAAAAATTAACAGCCGCATTTTTGGCGAGAGACAAATTATCATCCTTTGAAAGAAAGTTTTATTTATGGATTGATTATCGCCAGTAACGCGATGAATTGCCAAATGAAATGTTAAATGTTAAAACAGGGCAACCAACTACTTCCCGAGATCTTTGTCGGATTATTTTTCGCAAGGTAGTAGTGATATCGAATAGATACAAAAAACATTTATGAAGCCTATTCCTCCGAACAAGTTTTGGGTTAGTGTTGGGAGTGAATACCATGAAGTAGAGTAGCATAAACGTCTATCTTAACTTTGCTTCTTTTTGCCACAACGTTTCGTTATGAAACGGGGGTTTCAGCTTACATTTATAAAAAAAAATTCAGGTCAAAATTGGACGCTATCCCAGAAATGCCCAAACAGCTTTCAGACACAATATAGTTCGATATTTAATGGCAGTGAAACAATTTCATTCTTCGCATTAAAATTTAAAGTAGGTATGTATACTATTTCTAGTAAAAGTCTTTATTCATATTTGAATTGCAGTGCCTTTGATTTTTGGTTAGTAATTTGGCGTTGCATAAAATGAAAAGTACCTTATAAAGTAAGGGCTGCATTATCTTCAAAGTTTGAGAGCCCCAGAATTAAACCCTGTCAATTAGATATCGAAGGACTTAAGCATATTGTACATTTACAAAGTAGTAGCAAATTTTCTTGAAAAAATTCAATAAAAATAAAACAAGCTAATTTTTTTTTTGCATTAAAACCAAGAAATTTGAGTGAAAAACGTATTCTGAGCGAAGCCTCGAACTTTAGTTTAAAATATATCGCTGTCCTACGTACATACATATCAGTATATAAACAATAGATGCTTATTGAAAATGAAAACAAAAATAGAAGAGGAGAATTTCATAAAGGCATCAACAGTTTATCTCGAAGCATGAAAAGCAAATGAGGTTGACGGGTTAAGTACGCGGATGCATTCAAGCGCATACATACTTGTAGAACTGCATGCATACACACACACACACACACACACACTTACATACATACATATGTGCGAACACAAACATGCATCTATACTTATAAAACGTAAAAAGTGAAATTCATTATTAGAAAAGTTGCAAATTTTTTGTTTAAGCGAAATAAATAAATTCTCACATGCGCTGAGTTTTTTGTTGTTCTTCTTCTTAAATTGACCCACTTTCAATAGGGATCATTTATGTGTGTATACATACATACACACTTGCACGTACTTATTTACAAACATTCATTCATACCTTCCAAGCTGCGCTGCACTACTCGTACGTACATAGGTACTATTTGCAGTACCAGCGCTTTTCGTATTCGACTGCAGTTTGTTGGCGCGCGCGTGCAACTGGAAATTTTCTATTATTAGAAAAATGCGATTGTTTCAAAACAAAAAAAAATATATATATATATATAACTAAATCCGTTTCGTTGAAAAAGCAGAAAACTGCAATAACTCACTTCTTTTTTTATTTTGTATTTTTATTGTTTATTTTTAATAAAGAAAATGTTAGCCTGCAGGTGATTGAGTTAACCTAATTTTAGCAAACTTGCCACTTACCCACTTATTTACTGCTTTTGACTTGAGTTTTCTTCTCGTCGAAAGATTGCTGTTGTGTCACGGTTGATTTGTGGATTACTTTGAAGTGGCGCTGCTCAATTGGTTTCGCGTTCAACGATAAGCTCAAAGGATTACAAGCACTGACTTTGTTGCTGGATGATATACAGAGGAAATAATTGAAAGCGTTTCGTAGAATGTAGAGGAATGTGAGCGTATAAGCTCTAAAGTAGTAGGAAAGAGTTTATTATATTTCAAGCGTTTTAACAAATACGCTAGTCATGAGCCAGTCAGATAGATAAAAATCATGCTTGAAGTGCATGGAATTAAGTTTGAATCTTTTATTTTTACTTGGCGTACTCCTACAAAATATTATTTTTTATTAAATTTTTTTAGAAAAATTTTCAGTATGCAGTTTTGTAGCCCATTAAATTTTAGTGCAATAAAGTGCATGTTTCAAGTCTCTAAAAATTACCGCCAATTTTAGAGAAATTTTCTTGTCATAGTCTTTCACCTTTTATTCCATATAACGCATGAACATGAAATATATTTTTATATGGAAGAAAATTTGCAGCACCCTTGGAAAAAAAACCTCCAAAATTAACGGTAATTTTAGGCGACTTTAAATAAAAATGTTCCTTATAGTTTACAATTTAACTAAAAAAATTAATAGAAAAATTTTAAATTTCGTTGCAAATTTCTTGGTATTTCTTGCATTTTCCAGTTCTGTGTGAAATTAAAAAAATGTATGATTGTGGTTTTTGCTGCCGAAGGACCATATTTTTATAAAAAATAAGAAAAAATTGGTATGGAAAGCATAAATAAATGAAATCGTCAAAACGTTAGATAATGCATTTTTTTACGCTGATTGTAATTCAGGCCGAGATTCATGCAATAGAATTTTTATACCGACATGAATTATCGGCTTAATTATTTTTAGTGAATACATATATGCTTTTACAAAAATATGAAACACGTTCATATTGCATATAAGGAATTTAAAAATTTTTGCCCACTAAGGCGGTATTGCGCATCGCCATTAACGACACAACACCGGCACACCAGGCTTTCCGTTTCATTTTGTCAGCTAATGTGAAAACGGCCTTAGAAAATTATAAATCAATTCGTGCCCCCTGTGTTGCAGAGTCAACTGAAGTAGAGACTGCAACCATTCGAACGACGGCTGTAAAGCTTAACTTAACAAAGTGTTTTGCAAAAGCACAAGCAACTAGCGGCGATCATGAACAGCTGCTGCACGCAAGTTGAGTCAAGCTTAAAGCTAAATGAAAGTAAAGTTTAGCACTCGGCTGTCATAAGACAGATTCTGAGCTTGCGGCGCAAATACGGTTTATGCTTAAAATGCTCGCCGCTGGCTAATAAGAGAAGCACAAAAAAGCTCAACGCAAAAGGGAATCAAATATTTAAGTAAAGAGGGGAGTTGAGTTTTTATTTACAGCACGCTACTTGGCAGTCAGCGGCTAAGCGGGGTTTTTTTTCCAACACAGCACATGTGGTCAAGCTTACTCGTCAAGATCGCGTCGATTACTTGGGCAAGGGGATCTGATACATGTATGTATTTATAAAAGTAGAAAACAAACAAATTAAAAATAAAGAAAATAAACTAAAACGAATGACTACGCTGTTTTAACGTAGAGCAGACAGTGCAGCCGTACGCAAAGCGCTGCCGCTAGCGATCTAGCCAAGTTAAGTAGATTTGCTGTTCTCGGCTCAAACAGCGTAGATAGCATTCAGTCTTCATCTGAACATCGGTTCAGAAACTTGCGCGTTTCTAATAAGTCGGCACGATAAATTCGATACAGTTGCGTAGTTAAAGTTTACTGCAAAACAAGTAACGAAATAAAATTGAGAATTTGTTGAACAAGTGATCAAGTGCAGAAATTCGATTTCGATTGAATTTTACGAAACTGGCGATTCTGGTAATTGTTTAGCGGTAATTCATTCTGCGTTCATTGGCTACGCTTAATTTTGATGGATTTTCCGCGTTAAGCAACCCATTTTGATTTGTTTTGTGTATGTTTTTTAATATCTGTCGTATTTTATTTTTTGCTTCTTTCTGCGCGTTTGCTTTGTTGATGCCACTGCTTTTATTGCAACAGTTTGAAAACAAGTCGGACGTGTTTAGTTTCTGTTACAATTCTTTATGCCAGAGCGCAGACGCGCTTACAAGTTAGCACTTCTATGAGGACATTTGCATTTACATAAATATACATATATGTATGTATGTACATTAGGGCGCATCTCCAAAAGGAAAAGTGTCGGGTTTTCCAGTGAAATAAAAAAAATTATCATATTTTAAGACGTCCGTCTAAATATTTCGAAAAAAATATTGAGATTTACGTGAGCCAGATCGATTTTAAAATATCTCCAAAAATTTCTCAATGTATTTTATTTCGTTGATATACTTTTTAAATATGTTTATGCAAACCTTTAAGCTTAGATAGCTTCTATCATCTGAAGTGATATTATCTTAAATCTTAATATTTTTCCAAAATATTTTGGCTTAAGTCTTAAAATATAATAAATTTTATATTTCCGCTGGAAAAACAGTACCGAGTTTTTTTTTGTATCGAGTGTGTTGCACCCTAAAGTACGTGCATATTTATGCATGCAGATTTAAGCGCTAGTCAGCGTGATTTTGTGCAATAACTGGCAAACTTCGCAAGAAAAAACTTAAATTTTGCAAAAGAAGAAAAAAACTTCAAAATAAGTATAAACAATTCAAGTTGCTTTCGTTCGTTGTGCATAACAAGTTCCTGATTCATTGCTTACGATTTTTGTATAGTCGAAAGGTCAACGACGACGCGACGGTAGAACTTTTAATTTGCGGTTTGCTTTCGTGATTTGTATCATTTCGAAAATTCTTGAACCCGGCTTAATAATTTGTTGTTTCGCGTAAGTAGCAAAAAAGTGATTGTGCATAAAAAAAAGTTTTGTTTTTGTGTTGCAACTCGAGAACAAGGAAGCCTGTAAAAAATTGAAAGTTAAACTTGAAACCAAAACTGCAAGTGTAGATCGAGTTTTTAGCAGCTGGTATTTTCCGCTTACTTAACAACGCACAGGTGAGTTAGTCACGCATGCTTATCCCTGCGTCAGTTTACTCATTACACCCAATGAACATTACCGTTAAACTACGAAAAGCTGACGATTTTTTGATTGGAAGTCAACTATTTTCCAATACTGTAAGTGTAGAACCTGTTTACCGGAGCTTTGGGGACTCACCGCCATCTTAAAAAAGAAGAGTGGAGAATTAAGTCTGGTTTTGACGACAAAATTTGTCGACATATTTTGTCACAAATTTATTCCCTTATATTTAGGGCAGAAACGGTCAAATAGCCGATAATGCAACGTATCTACATGACTGAGGACCTATTCTTATCTAGAATAATCGATAGACCGATTTTTAGTCCCATTTGATAAATTGTTTTCACTAATTTGTCGACAAATGCCATTGAATTTGATCTAGGAAAACCCAACTTTTACACCCAAATGTAAGCATCCATACTTAGCAGAAAAATTACAACCAGGATTTCGCTTCATCTCTCCCCAAATACTCTTTTAGTGTGGATTAAAGTTTTCACGCTTTGGTAAAGAATTAAATTTTCAACCGCAGTTTTTGTCTCAGAAGACAATTTTACTGACTATAATTTGGCACCTACCTTAACGGACTTTACAGGGAGGGTTTCAAGCGATTAGAGCATGAAACACATAAATGTCATTTTTAAACTTCTGCAAAACAGAGCCACTGAAGCAAAGCTAAAAGGTGCTGTTACCAAAGCAAGCTTAACATCAACCTTCCGCCCAAAGTGCTACGGAATAAATTAAGAAACCTTAGGTGCTGAGGTTCACCTTCTACACAGGTTTCAGTGCTGTTACTATAAAACCCCATGGAAAATTGTTGTCGCCATAATTTAATATACTCTCGACATCAGTCATGCTTATCCTTACAAGAAGCTGGCTTGGTCTTGGAACCATCCGAAGGTCGCCTAACTTTTTGATAAAATTTTCATGCGTGTTTGCTGTCAGCCGTATTTCGTCGTCTCACTACTTTTTACTGCAAATACATCTCGATTACCTTTTTAGGTCGTAATTGGCTTTGTATGTGGCATCTTTTTCTCTACAGATTCGTGACATTAGTCTTCGTACCAGTTGTTCTTTCGAGCTAGCTGAATTCCGACTACTTATTCGGTGGTGATACGTAATGAGCGGGAAAGGTGTGAGAGTCGATTGTCGATTGCGATTACTGCTTTTCAACCTTAAGCTTTTATGTTTGGAGTGTTGGTTGGTTCGTTGGTTTAAGTGGATTGTCACCATAGAGGCAGCTGAAGTAATGGTTTAGTCTCATCCTTTCGAGGGCTGGACACTCGCACAGAAAGTGCTCGACTGTCTCTTTTGAGCCAGGGTTATCGCATTTGCGGAAGAACCTATTGAAGGGCAGTCCTATTCTTTCGGCATGCACCCCGACGTACCAGTGCCCTGTGCACACTGCAGTAAATTTGTAGGCATCTATTTTACTCATTCGTTAGAGAGCTTTGGATTTAGGTGGGTCGTAGGATACCCAGAACTGCCATGTAATCCTGAAAGATCCTGTGTAGTCCCACTTCTGTTTGGCGTTCGAGTGATACATTTTTGGTAATTTTTGTCTTAATCTCCTTGAGCGAGGCGCCCATTTTCACCGCGTGGGAAACATTCAGTGCGGAGCCGCTCCTTGCTAGTTCGTGCGCTACCTCCTTTCCGGTAGGTTGAGTAATGACTTTAGTTTGTACTGCTCCATGAAAACCCCTGCACCACTTCTGAATTCCATCTTCGGCCCATCCGAAAATACAGTTAAGCCCTGCAAGAACTCGGCTGGGTTGGACTGTAGCCGTGTACATCCAGTGCCCAACATTCTCTTGGTTGCATAGAGATATTTTACAAGTCTGGACGCAGTGATGAATCCCTGTTTCCATAAGTGCCTCATCACTGGACACTGCACTGACAATATTTAAGGCTACCTTCATAGTAGAGCGAACTCTCAATTGTGCGTACTACTTCATGCAGGGCAGTCTCCGTTGACTTCGATTTCAGTATTTCTTAAAAACTGGTAATCAAAACCCAGCATCTTAGTTACTTTCAGGTTTAAAATTTTTAATGACACAAGGCTTTTAAAATTTCATTTCATTTTGTTTGCTGGGTACAATAACTTAAGTTTAAACGTTGTTTACTTGCCCGATGTCCCAAGCATCCATGCGTGCGTGCGTTTGCAAGCGTCGCGACGCCTTAAAAAATTACAAAAGCGAATTGAAAAAAAAAAAAAAATCATTCGAATGAGCAAACCAGCATTCGAACGTTCAACTCATTGTCGCTTCGAATGGAAAGCATTTCAAGGTCAAGATACAACATCATGCGAGATATTGAGATTTTTTCATACTTTTTTTTTTGATATTTGCATTTAATTTTTTCCCTATCCGTGTATTTGCTGAGTGTATGCGTGTGCATAGTTTATTATGTGTGCACTAAGCGTGCAAAATGTTGGATTTTTTCTTCTTTTTTTGACGCTTTTTACTGGCTTTTGTTGACTGAATGAATGGTATTGACACATGGCTAGCAAGCACACATACACACACACACTCACACATACCACCCGTATACTACCCGTACATAATTGTTAACGTTCGAAGCTTACTGCTTCATTGACACTTCTCCGCCAACCAGTGTTGCCACACTTGTGCTTTTCCTACCAAAACTGGCAAGTAAACGCGGGTGCCACATTGAGGAGCTGTACCGACTGTTCTGCGTGGTCATCACAGGAGCTATGCGCATCTGTTCAACAGATGCCCTTGGTGTCATTACAGCCATTCCTCCTTTGTCTATTCTGGTTGAAAGAGGCTTGCTAAAGCGATATACGGCTGCCCAAAATGATAAGCGGGAAAAGTGGAGATCTCGGGGTTATTTGGAGGTTCTTAAGGTCAGAATTTCTAGAAAACTCTGAAGCGATAATAACAATTATTGACGAAGGGTTCGAAATATGGGATACCAATGCATGGACGACGGTAGTGCTGGGGTAGGTGTACTTGGACCAAGATTCCAGAAAAGTTAATGGGCACATACCCAACCATGTTCCAGGCGGAAGCCTTCGAAATCGGAGCCTGTGTTCGCGAATGCCTTCGTAGAAAAACAAATAGGGCTATAAAAAATGTTATGTCGGAAAAGAAGCGTTGGCCTTAGACTCTTTTAAAACGGCAGCATGGCTTAAGGCAGCCGTAAAACTCTTCTGAAATACCTGGGTGCCCACAATGGCGTAGCGCTGTGGTGGGTTCCGGGAGAGGAAGGATTTGAAGCCAACGAAAGGGCTGACTGTCTCGCAAAGCCTGGTACCCAAATGCCCTTGAATTTTCCTGGGCTTTTGTGTGGTACATCTAAAGGATACAGTGTGGAACTACTTAGGGGCTGGGAAGAATCTCAGATTGCTGCCCACTGGCGGAAGTGAATAGGGAATGAGACAATCAAAGAGATTCATAAGTCCTTCCAAGAGGAATTCCGAAAGACTCCTTGAACTTAGCCGGGAGAGTCTTAGAACTCTTACTGGCATCCCGACAGGACACTGCGGGTTAAGGTACCATTTGAATAAAATGCGGCTTTCTGTAGAGACGGACTGCAGGTTTTGGGGCTGGGTTCAGCACAATAGACCTTCTCAGGTCACAGCGCGAGTATTTATGACGTAATAATAATAATAACAAAAAGTATGTGTAAAAAGACATATATTTATATCAGCCTGTATAGAAAAATGAATTGTTATATTATTTTTATTGTACTATTTAGCTGTGGTTTAGTTTTACTAAGTGTTGTATTATCTATATTTTTAATAAACTTGAATTGAAATAAAATAAAAAAATGAAAAATTGAAATGAATGAATTGAAATGAAATGAAAAAAATAATTAAAATCTTAAAAAAAAAAATTTGGTAACTTTTGGTTCGTTTTGGTAGGAGATTTTGGTAGGTAAAAAAATGTGTCCGTGGCAACACTGCCGCCAACGTTGATACACATTGTCTATAAGACCGGCCCAAATACACACAAACATACATACACGTACAAAATATAAATTTGTATCTACAATAAAAAAAACGTCCCTGGATGCGCTGGTTATTCCGCCATAAATGTGCTAAAGCTGTTGCAATTTTTGTGTCACTGATACCGATCGCTTTTGATGGGCTCGATTTAACAAATTGTATATTACAATTTTTAGCGCAGATAATAGTCTGACAGATGCTTTTTTATGATTCAATTTTGGTATGTTTTTACGGTGAGAGTTAACGTTTATTCATCAGTGACTTTCAATAGTTCACAGGTGAATTCCAGCTAACTCTACACTGTGTATGTGGCCCTTAGTAGGCCTTTTGGTCAAGGTCCTCTATTGAACGTAGGATTTGCTATTGGTGTACAACTTATTGATTTAGCCTTTAATAAATAAAAATTAGTCTATTTACATAAATAGTGTGGCCTATAGTTTTTATCGGCGGCAAAAAGCCAACTCTTTTTATGAGAAGCTTTTTCATGGCATAAGTAAACAGGCTTGCCGTGGCATGAACGTTAAAAAAAAATACATTTTGTTGACCAGGAGTGATCTGTGTCCTAACCCGTATCTAACCACTCGGCTACGTTGGCTGCACACTGACTTCGTCTAGCACAGTATAATTAGGGCCCTATGGTCTCGGCTGTGGGGTTATGTTAGTTGGACGTTCCAATATTTTCTTAAAACCGGAGCACCAGGGACTAATTTCAGCAGGTTTCAGTTTTCTTTATGCTTAAGATCTTAAAGCTCTTCGAAGAAGAACAGTGGGAAGGAAAATAGCTCGTCTGCTTCGCCTCCTTATTCTCGCAGTATAGAAGGATCGGAAATAACTGGAGACAGAGATATGGACAGGCTTCAGCGTCTTTCAATGCGACAAGATAATACACTATCGTAGTCTTTTTTGAAGAGATACTAACTTGGCTTAGCCCCAATACTGACATCGAGCTTGCATACATATTATAGAATCTTAACCGACGCCTCTTAAACTGAGAAAGAGTCAGGATGTCGA